TCTCACCAAGCACCAGGTATTTTATTCTTATCCGCTGTGAGAGAATATTTTGATAAAAGAGATAAAAGTTTAAAAGGGGACCTGAAAATAAGTTTCCAGTATCTTTTTAAGATCAACATATTCCTTCTTAATTTGTTGGAAAGTTTTCTTGCATTTGCACAAAGGGGAAGAATTAAATATTGAATATTATATATTAAAAAAAATTAGTGAATCTTGTTGTAAATTGATAGTTATGATTAAACATTATAGCATATAAATATAGCAGGATTAAGACAAATTAATTACCCTTCACCATCTCCAGTTCTGCAGTGTTCTCTGAACTGTGTGGACTCAGTTTTAACCTTTCAGGCTCCAATGTTGCAACAATTAAGTATCAATAATGAAATAATGATATTTTAATCAAAGTCTTAACATATTTTAATCCATGTATTAATCACATTTTTAATTTACTCGTTTTCCTTAATAAATACCTTGAGTTGCTGCCCTTGAACTGGTGCATAAGTCCATCCAACTTAGCAATCCGGCATGATTCGTCTTCCTCTCCCTCTCCGTTCATGTATGTGTTTATTTATTATCGATGTTCTCGGTTTAATTTGTCATATATACTTGATTTTGTATTAGGAATGGAGAGTCAGAGTGTGAGTTCGAGTAATCCGGCTCTAAGCACCAATGAAATGAAAGACAGAGATAATCAAACTCAAGAAATCTCGAGAAACACGAATGTTTCACAAAAAAGCAATACCAAAAATAGAAAGGAGAGGAGCATTGCTTGGGATCATTGTGTTAGGAAAATTATTCACGATGATGAAGGAAATGAGGAGATGTTTGCTATTTGCAAACATTGTGAATTACAAATGCCGGCCGATTCGAAAAAGAATGGAACTAGAGGCCTTCTTAATCATTTGTATTATAGGTGTGAGAGTTCTCCTCTTCACATGGTGATGGACAAGAGCCAACCCACATTAACTCAGTCGATGATGGGAGGTGAAGTAAAAATTTCCGACTTCAACCAAAAAAGACTCGACAACATGTGTGTGAAGTGGATTATCAAAGCGGAGATGCCATTTCGAACCGTAGATCAACCGGACTTCAAAGAATTTATTCATGATCTTCAACCTCGTTATAAGATTCTTAATCGGAGGAAGATTACGAATGGCGTGTGGAGTTTATTTTGCGAGGAGAAAGCAAAGATCAAAAGCATCATTGGTGATCTCCGTGTGAGTATCACAACCGATACTTGGACCTCTATCCAAAATATCAATTACATGGTGGTGACGACCCATTTTATCGACTCGGATTTCCATTTACACAAGAGGGTGCTCAACTATTGTAAGATTACTTCTCATAAGGGTGAAGACATAGGAAGGTGTCTCGAAGAGAAGTTGGTCGAATGAGGCATAAGTAAGGTGTTTACCGTTACCGTAGACAATGCGAGTTCCAATGATGTGGCCGTGGAGTATTTGAAGAAGCAAATCCGGAAGCATGATAGTGATAGTCTTATGCTTGATGATAACTTGCATATGAGGTGTGCTTGTCACATAATTAACTTGATTGTGAAGGATGGAATGAAAGAGTTAGTAGATTCCATTGAATCCATCCGAAATTGTGTGAAGTATATTCACTCTTCAAGTGCGAGGTTGGATAAGTTTCGGGAGTATGCGGTTTTAGAGAAGAAAGACAAAATGTCCACTATCCCGATGGATGTTGTGACTCGGTGGAATGCCACACGCATCATGCTTCATGGTGCTTACAAGTTTAAAGGTGTCTTTGCAAGGATGGTGGAAGAATTTACGCCATTTAAGACATACTTTGAAGATGGAAGAGTGGGGCCTCCGACGGATGAAGATTGGGAAAAGGCTATGGGATTTGCACATTTTCTCAAGAAGTTCTATGATGCCACCATCAAGCTTAGTGCCACCAAGACTCCGACCTCGCATCTTGTTCTAAAAATCTTGATAAACTTGAAATTTGAGATTGAGTGGCTAGAATTAGAGATAAGAAAAATATTGTGTTGCAAAATGTGGCTGCATCTATGAAGAAGAAGTTTGATAAATATTGGGGCTCTTTGGAAGATATGAACATTTTAATGTTTGTAGCCCAAACCCTTGATCCACGATATAAGTTTCAATTGATGGAGTTGCAACTAGGGAAGCCTGGCTACACTCTAAATGATGTTGAGTACCTCAAGAGTTGGGTGAAAAGACATTTGTATCTTATGTATGAAATTTACAAGGGAACGAAAAAGTCATATGTGGATGTGCATGAGGATGTGGATGATGGTGTTGATCTTAGTGATGATGATGGTGATGATGATGATGATGTAGAAGTTCGGATAGAGCGAAGACTTAATAAGCAAAGAAATGAAGCAAAAGAGATAGCTAATGAAATTGACAAGGACTTTAATGATGCATTTGAAAGTACAAAGAATGATGATTTCGACTTATTGGGGTGGTGGAAAAGTAAAATATCAAACTACTCTATTCTTTTCAAAGTTGCTAAGGATGTACTTGCTTTTCCTACTTCGACCGTTGCTAGTGAAAATGCCTTTAGCTTTGGAGGAAGGATTGTGGATCCGTTTAGAGCTTCTTTGACATCTAGGATGGTCGAGGCCTTAGTTTGCACAAATGATTGGCTTAAAGGAGATGAATTTCAATTTCACAAGGAGCCTACGGAAGAAGAGCTTGAGTTCTATATGGAACTCGAACAATTGGAACAAAGTAAGTAACCATTTTATTAATATTTTGAAATTCATATTGTGCATGAAATATTTTTTTGCTTATTGAATTATTTGTAATATTTTTATAGATTTTCTCAATACAAATGAAATGCCACCACCTCCATCTAAAAGTGCAAATTTACCCGAGTCCGGAGTTAAATAATTATCGTCACATCCATCTCGAGGGGGAAGAGGGGGAAGGGTTCGGTCAAACCGTGGTGGACGTGGCGGTGGTGCTACATCATCGAGCAAACTAATAGATGAGGTTCTTGTTCTTTATTTTTATTATAATTAGTGTTCTTTCTTTTAAACTTTAATAATATTATTTTATATTATCTTAATGCATTATTATTTTTTTCTTATGTAGGAGTAGACAAGCAGTGGTCGAATGTTTTGATTTTGAGTTATTTTATAATTTTATTGGTGATGAATTGGATATATTGTGACTTGTGACTGTGAGTTGTGAACTGTGATTGGTATTCATAATCATATTTGTGTTGTGATTGTGATTGATTAGTTTGTTTGATTGAAAGAGCATGGTAAACTTGTAATATGATTTGGATATGGTGTGGATCAATAATGCTAAGGAGCCAACAACCAATGGGACAGCTCCATGTGGGACTGTCCCACATGACTCCAATGTAGGACAGCCCCACACGGAGTTGTCTCATTGGCTGTTGGCTCCATAACGGAGCCAACAGTTGGCTCTTTAGCATTACTGTGGTGTGGATTGTGGTGTGTAATGTGTTGTGTTGTGACTTGTGATTGGATATGGTGTGGTATCTTTTTTTTTT